TGTAGAATCAAAGTTGTTTGGAATGCTTCGTCTCGTGAATAAAAGAGTCAGGCAGCGTTGAATATTGGGTTTCTCACCATTGAACCTTTATTCCGTCGGATTAAGAGGGACTTTTATGGGTTTGCAAAGTACGCACCCTATATGCCTTATATACGCATACCGTATGCACGAATACGCCATACATATGCAAAACACAGTAATTATTTTCTATTTTAAAAAAAATATTTAATTCGATTTTAATTGATTCGATGCATTCCTTATGTATGAATCATGCAAAAACTCATTTTACCATCGTTATAAAATGATTATAAAAATTTTCATAATGAGACTTAGTATTTGTGTACACCCTTGTGCTACATAATTGATGGTTCTAGAGTGTGGGTGTTATGCTTCACTGGTTTAGCAATCATTGTAGTATAGGGAGAATCAAAGGTGATTGGAATTCTTCGTCTCGTGAACAAAAGAGTCAGGAAGCGTTGAATATTGGGTTTCTCTGCCTTTGAATATTCATTCCTTGTGATAAATATGCATTTCTTTGGAGTGCAAAATACGCAGTATATACGCTTATTATACGTATTTGGTACGCACGGACTACGCCATCCATACGCAAATCACATAAATTATTTTGTTCTTATAAAAATTTATTAAATTCGAATTTAATTGATTCGATGCATTACTTCAGTATGCACCATGTAAATACGAATTTTACCATCGTTATAAAAAGATTATAAAAAATTTCTCAATGATACATAGTATTTGTGTACACCCTTGTGCTACACAAGTGATGGTTCTAGAGTGTGGGTATATGCTTGGTTTAGCATTCATTGTAGTATAGGAAGAATAAAGGTGATTGGAATTCTTCGTCTCATGAACAAAAGAGTCAGGAAGAGTTGAATATTGGGTTTCTCTTCCTTTGAACATTCATTCCTTGTGATTAAGAGGGATTTCTATTGGTTGGAAAAATACGCAGTCTATATGCTTATTATACGCATTAGGTACGCACGGCATACACAATCCATACGCAACTCACACTGCTTGGATCTATTGATAATGCTAGAGGGAAACTTCTTATATATAGAAGAAGACAATTATTGTGTGGTTTTTTGTAATGCCGATTCTTCATGGCAATCCCTATGCTTCATGGTTGAGGAAGATTTTCTGCTAAAACTTCTATATTGGTATTTCATGAAGAATCCGCAATGCAAAACCCAATTGAAATTTTTGTAAAAGAATCACAGCATTTCATGGAAAAGGTAAACTTCTTATATAGAGAAAATGAGTCAAATCAATAATAGGTAAACATTATGAATGCAATAATGGAGATCATAAATTCATAATGGGTTAAAATTCTTTAATGATAATGGAAAATACATTGTATTTTCAGAAACATAGAAAATACACTATGTATATGCATCTAGTACGCATTGTATATGCAGTCCATACGCATATATCCAAAAACAAATATTCCTTATAAAATAAATATCTCTAAAGATAATAATACAAATATTATTATTACATAGAATTTTCTGATTTAATGATATCCATCATCAACTTTAGGTACATTGCTGATGGCTTTTTTGAACGTACACCTTTTATGTGTTCCTGAGTGAAGCATTTGGGTATGCTTGTGAAATTAGAATACTTTGCTCGCTTTACTGATGGCTGACTGGACAGTTCCCCGGCTATGAAATTGTCGGTCATGCACTCGGGCATGCTTGTGAACTGCTGTACTGATGCCTGACTAGACGGGCATGCTTGTGATATGAAGTCCTCCATTAACCATTCCGGCATGCTTGTGAAATTGTACTGCTTAGCTGTAGATGGCAGACTGGACTGTACAGAATTTATGAAGTCCTCAGTGAAGCATTTGGGCATGCTTGAGAAATTACACTACTGATCTGATGGTTGCTTGGAGTGTACAGAATTTATGAAATCCTCCGTTAAGCATTCGGGCATGCTTAAAGGAGTAGGAATTTTTTTTTGTGTTTTTCTTCACTGGTGGTTTCCCTGTTAAAAAAATTAATAACAATATGTCATAATAAAAAATAAATTAAATTTGTCAGAAAATGAAATCATACTCTTTGGCTTCTTCTCCCAGTGGCTTTTCAGCCTATCATTGGATATGCCTTTAGGCCTACGCTTTAGAGGATCTTTCAGTTGTACATTGCCACCCTGTGTAGACTTGTATGTCTTTCTCTTCCCATAAACAATCAAATCGAGTTTTTTAGATGTATCCCTCATCGAAGCCAATATGAATTCTTAACCCTCCTCATTCAGTTGCGCTCTTGTGCTCATTTCATATGCAAACATACTGATATAATTTTTTTAAATATGAATCCGCTACTAGCTTCAGAGCTATTATGAGAATTTTCTTTCAAATTTAGACCAGAATATATATCTTGTCGAGCTCGTGCTGACCATCGCAACAGAAGGTACTTCTCGGGGATTTTTCCAATAGCCATTTGCCTCAAAACTATTATGCAGTGAGAATACAATAAACTCATCGTTTCAAACTTTCTGTAGGAGCATTGAATGTTATTATTTTGTGCATCAAAATCAACAACCCATGGTTTAAAGTGATCCTTTTTCTCTGAGTAATAGACAAAAAATTTAGAAGAATCACTATGCTCAAGCTCTAGACTCATTACACCAACACCTTGTAAAAATTCTTGTTCAAAAAATGAATATATTTTCTTTGAATAAAATTGAGCAGCTTGTTTTAATATTGAGCAGTTTTTTACTATAGGTTCTATTTTGGACTGGCTACATCTATAATCATCATCCTGTTCATTCCGGCGTCAATTCCTCATCACCTTCTCTAAACCCAGAAAGCAATCAGTTATAGAACTTGTGGGCTTAGAAATGCCATGACACACATTATTAGTAGACTCGGTACGTTGTGTGGATAGAATGTCCATGCTAAAATAATCCTTATTGAAGGTTGTTGACCACTTATTCCTTATCCTATAAAGATCCTGCAACCAAACATGATCTTGGAGGTTCCCTTGTATGATCAATTCAGCTCATGCATTCTCAAACTCCTCCTCAGAGTCACATCTGCTCAAACACTTATTGAAGAGGCCTTTGACTTTGTTGTTGGTATTGCAGCACAATACTTTTGATGGAGCCTTTTTAAGGATATGCCATTGGCACAGTCTATGGCGACTGTGAGGTAGTGCAACTTCTATGGTCCTAGCCATTGCCTGATCTTTATCTGTATATATTGTTTTGGCTGTTTATCACCCATCATTCGAACAAAAGTTGTAAACACCCACGTAAATGATTTAATTGTCTCTTCGGACAAGAAGGCCACCCAAGCAAAAGGTTTTGCCAATGATTGTTAACCCCGACAAATGGTGCGCATACCAAATTATACTTATTAAGCCTATAACTTGTATAAAAAATTACCACACCACCAAAGCAGTCATAATCTATCTTACCAATCCGATCAACCCAAAAAAATTTAACAATCTATCAAATTCATCCTTCTGGACATCCCAAGAGAACACGTTATCATTAAGTTGCGTTCTTTAAATAACTCAATCAAAGTATTAGTGTCCCCAAGTTCAATCTTTGCTCTTTTTATTTTTTGAATAAAGTTGTACGCATCCCTCCTTGTGAATCTAATATTTTCAACACCTCTCACTTCATCAGCAAGGAAGAAAAATGCATCAATGGTTCTTATCCCAGCATCTGTCATTGCTTTAAGAACATAAGCTTTTTCATCACACATATTCCTACATGATCTAAGAAGATGCCGGTCTTCTGGCCTAGGCAAATCATGATTGTGATTTTCAATAATTTTTTTCACCTTCCAATATCCAGCTTCATCCACTATAAACCTAATCATAGCTGGACAACCAGTTCGGGTATCTGATCTTCGATATTTCCTTTGGATATTAAGATCAGGCAACTTCTTGAAACCAGCTTTTGAACAAACAAAGTCCTCGGATTTTAAATTTCTGGAATTTGGCCAGTAACTGTGATGATCCTTACGAACACTAAAACCAAGATTATATCCATAATTACGATAAGCCTCGTATGCCTCTTTCTCATTAACATAAACATCCTGATAAATACACAATAAATGAATTATCCAATACCCAACCAATACGCAACACATACACAACCAATAAGCAGTAATTAAGCAAATCAATACGCAACCAATATGCAACCAATACGCAATAAAAACCCAACATATGTGCAATTAATGCGCAATGTATACCAAATCAATACGCAGATGATACTCAATGTATATCAAACAGATAAGAAATACATACGCAATTAATACGCAACAAAACTTTGCAATAAGAAAATCGAACTACAAATTCGTTATTGTACCCTAGCTCAATAATACTTTAAAAGAAAGGAACATCGAGTATTCTTTTAAAATCATTTACAATTTAACATTATGTACATTGTTTATAAAAATACGCATCTATGTTAAACACAATAAATACATCAAAAATCTTTGTACCCTAAAATAATTACATCAAAAAAATAACTCTGTAAAGAGATTTAATTGCAACATTGCTATGAAGAAAACTTGGAAGAAGGCGAACTTTACCGATAAGCTGAACTTTTAGGTGTTCTGCTATCAAAAATCTTCGTCCAGTCGCACTGGTTTTAGGTGTTCTGCTTCATGTGCGCTTGTTTTCTGGACGTCGGCATTCTCCAGGTTATCGGCTTCCTCCAAGACCTGTGAAAATATTGTCTGCTCATAAAAACCAACATCCTCCTCCAGATCCAGATCAATCTCCATCTTTATCGGCATTTTTTCTGCGAAAATTTTGACTCTAAGCGTTATGTACTTCGGTGATTCGCGCCTTAAATTCTGAAAAAAAGAAGCGCCAACCTAAATTTAACATTATCTCCCGGGTCGGGCTGGAAGACGGGTCAGATATCATCCGATTTACACAAGTCAATTGAATTTTTAACCATTTTCACTTAAGCAACCGAACACATCTTTACGACCGAATTCCACACAGAAAAATTTCCCCTCCGGCTTGATCGACGTCGATACATATCTGCTACGCTGCAACCCCATCAACCTGTTGAAAAATCCACATCCTCTCCTGGTCTTCTGTCATCCGCCATATCAAATCTCCACCTTCGTTTCTCTTTCCACTTTCTTCTCCTTCCCTCATCCTCTATTTTTTCTGACGGCAGGTGACGGTTCCTTTGAGCGACGAAACGACGGTTCATACTTCCCCCGCTTCCCCTTTTTCTCTCCCATGGTAATATAGGTTTCCGTGAAGTGCCGATCCATAGCTTCAATGACGGCTGTTTCCGTTGCAGCGGAGTGGCAACTCCTCTACAACCGCTACTACCGCAAACCTGAAATCTACTCGATGCAATGGGGTCGAATGGAGCTCACCCGCAACCGCGTCGCCTGCGCTCCTTTTGGAGGTCCCATTGCCGTTATCAGGGACGATTCCAAAATCGTACAACTCTACGCGGAGTCCGCGCGTCGAAAGCTCCACATCTTCAATTCCGCCGGAGTCCTCCTTGCCTCAACGGTCTGGGACCGTCCTGGTGGCCGGCTTGTTGGCATGGCGTGGACCGACGCCCTCGTTCTTGTCTGCGTCGTGCAGGACGGTACGGTATATAGCTACGATATTCACGCAGAGCTCTCTGCCTCTCAATACTCCATGGGAAAGGATTGCTTTGAGCAAAGCGTAGTTGAGTGCGTCTTCTGGGGGAATGGCATGATCTGCCTTACCGAGGGCAACCAGATATTCTGCGTCTCTGATTTTAAGAATCCTCAGCCTTGCAAGCTCGCTGACCCCGCGCTGGAGGATTATCCTCTCTGTATTGCGGTCATCGAGCCGCAGTACACAATGCATGGGAATGTGGAGGTGCTACTTGGGGTTGAGGATCATGTTCTTGCTGTTGAGGAGGATGGCATTCAGCAGCTTGGGGTTGGGGTTGGTCCCCTGCAGAAGATGGCAGTATCACCCAATGGCAAGTACCTTGCTGCTTTTACACATAATGGGAGGCTACTTGTTATACCTACAGATTTTTCAAGGATCATATCTGAGTATTGTTGTGAGGTTAGATAAACTTGCATGAAGCAGTATCCGCTCTTCTGTACTTTTGGTTCAGCTGATGCTAGAGTTGTTTACGTTTGAGGTGTAGAAATTGCAAAATCAAGGGTTGCACAAAGAAAGCATCGTGAAATTAAGGTTTTATAATGATCCTTTAAGATAGATTCTGAACTTAGCTAATGACCTGCAGTTGCATTTCTTAGATTGATGAAAGAAACCACGATAGGGGCAATGTGTCATTAAGAATGATAGGTTTGTTATGATTTTCTCTGTTGCATTAGATATATTCATTGTTTTGTTAAAATACAGTATACACAACATGCTACGTTTGTTTTATGAGGATATAGAAGAAAACCTTTTTTGTTTATTACTCGATTATAAGCATTTTGTTCCTTGATTCATTGTCCATTGATGTGTGCTAAAATTATTCATAAGATTGATACGTCAACCATCATTAGTTAATACATTGGCTTTTTAATATAATGAGATCAATCATAGAGCATAATTTCTTCAGGAGTTATAGAGGAAGAAAATTAATTAATTTCTTGGATAAGCTATTTGCAACCATGCAAACATAGATGAGTACAATAGTAATGTATCATAATCTTGTTTTTTTGCAATTTGTGCTTGAATGTTACTTATCAGTTTTGCTGTTTAAGTTGAGTAATCCAATGAGGTATTGTTTTTTCTTTTTTTCAGAATTTTGATGATAACTGTGCTTTATTTTGGTTTGTGATATTTTTGAAAAGTTTAAACTTGATTTGTGAATTGCATATAGATGTAAAAGATCCCTTGTGTTTAAATACTATTCCATCTTTCAAATCAAAAGATGAAAGATGAAAATGTCATTCAGAAAGTATTGTATTAATTTGTTGGTTTTGTGAATTTTTTTGCATTGCTCCATAACCAATATTTTAAATTAGGAATTGAAACTAATTGTATGGGAGAGGGGGGATGCATAGTTGTGTTTAGAGACTTCAACTCCTTCCATCTCCTATGAAGAGATAAAAATGTGAAGGTCATTCCCCTTAAAAATGGAAGAGGGGGGAGATTATGAGGGAGAGAGAAGGTTAAAGAATTGACATGAAAGTATTTATTATAGATGACCTATACCAAATCTGTAAAGGGCAATGTTGCCCCTTTTAAGTTTATATGAAACTTGCTAATAATTGAGAGGCCTAATAGTTTTTTCCTTGATATGTCCTTGGGAACAATAGTACTTTGCTTAAATTTGTAGGATTTATATGTAATTTATCTCCATTTCTTTAAGATAAATATACTTCAACATATCTTACAATTTAATTTATTTAATAAAGTAGAAAGCCAATCCCTTGTAGTTTTTAGTTTTCCAATGTCTTCTTTGTACTTTGATTTATTTACATGTTTATCCAATACTCGTGCAGTCAGCATTACCTCCAGAGCAGATAGCTTGGTGTGGAATGGACAGTGTCCTTCTCTATTGGGAGGACATGCTTTTGATGGTGGGCCCTGCTGGTGACCCAGTGCGTTATTTGTATGATGAACCAATAATACTCATTCCCGAGTTTGATGGCGTGCGGATTCTTACCAACACAAGCATGGAATTCCTTCAAAGAGTTCCTGATTCATCAGTGTCTATTTTTCAAATTGGAAGCACAAGGCCAGCAGCATTATTATATGATGCTTTGGAGCACTTTGATAAGCACAGTGCTAAGGTATTAATTGAATTGTGCGCTCTTTCGAAAGTGATACTGCATGTTTTATTTGATAAAGTTAATTCTTTAGCCATTAAACTATTTTGATTAATGGTTTAATCCATGCTTTGGAGCACCTACCTGATTAAATGCAGTTTTCTGATGATAGTAGAAACTGAAATGAAAATTTGAAATGGTTGTATGGCCATCATATAACCATCTTGTTATCTAGAACCCTCATTTTTCTTTTTCTTTTTCAATTTGCTTTATATATTCACTTTTGTTCAGATTTCTTTGTAATTTATTGGCTACGCTTTTATTGATTTTGAAAGATTGGACACATGCTTGTTTTATGCGAACAAATATCAATTAAGTGAATATATTTTTTTGCTTTTATCAATTACATAGATTGTTGGTGGTGATCCTTTAGATGAACTCCTCATATTTGATATAACAAATGGGTTTGGTGATAATGAGCAAGGGGGTGTGAGTTTGCACTTTATTCACTTTTATAGTTGAATTTGGCTACGCATGTTTAAAAAATAGTTGATGTGTACTCCTTGAGACATCCTCACTATGAGGAGCATGAAAAATGACTTGAGGCTTATGCCACTTTGCTCTGAGTGAGGCATACACCTTTTGTTTTACTAAGGTGCATGCCTCAAGGTCTTATGCCTCGAGACATTTGAGACGGGTGCCTTAAATTGATTAGAATAAAAAACATTTGTTATATTATCTTATAATAAACTTATAATATGCTTAATAGTTAGCCTAACATATATTTCTATTCTTTTATAAGTTAATTGAGCAAGGGTTTAGGGTTGGGTAAGCGGGCGAGTGGTTGTGAATGAGTGAGGCACAATAATATCCTTGGATCATGCTAGTTGTTGCAGTTGTGGGCAGGGATTGCGCTGGTTGTGAAGGCTACGAGCACACGAGGGAGGAGTTTAGGTATGTGCGCTTTCTTGATTGGCAGTTCTAGGGTAAATTTTTTTCTTTTCTTATCTTTTAGAAGAAAGATAAATATTTTCTTTATTTTCTTTTAAATATCTGTATATCCTTTAGTTTTTTTATTGTTTTTTATTTATTTTTACTTTTTTTTTTTATTTTTTTGTAAGTTTTAGATTAGTATTTAAGATTGAGTTTTGAGTTCTTTTTCTTGTTATATAATTTTATGATTTATGATGATGAACTAAGTTACTTTATATTTTCTATCATATCTATAATGTTTTTAAATTCGATCAGTTTTAAAATTTTCTTGCTCGAGGCTTACGCATTGTTTTTCTCAAAGAAAAATACCTTCGTTCCCTATTTCTCTTTTTTAAGACCCTATTTACACATATATGCTACAAGCTTATCATTATGTTGTTTTTTCTCTTATTATTTCTAACAATGACTAAAGCTGAGCATAGCTAGTCATGTAGTTTGCTAGTTAAGCACATTATGAATTTTGGAGCTTGTTAAAAATAGATTGCCCTTGCTAGTGTTTAGAATTTATTATTATTAGTGAGATATATTGTTTAATGATGACATGGTATATGAGACTTGTTCAAAGAGTCTCGAGAATTGTATTAAACCTCATTAGAGTAGACTGTTCTTAGATCAATTTGTTATAATGTTTGATGTAATATCGAGACAAATAGCTAAGGGCAAGTCGACAGGGTTACAAACCCAGGTATTGCATTAAGAGTTTGGCTTTTCATCTTGTACAAGTTTCCATGTAAGCCTAGGGATGATACATAATGTCTCTAAAATCATTGAGTATTACTTAAGAAGCTTCATTTAAGATCTTTTGATGGGATGGCCAGCCATATCAGTCAAGTAAGAAAATTTTTTAAAAATCACTTGATTTTAGGATCACTCTATTTGCCTTATTTTTCCAATTCAAAATTTTCATATTTTTGAAGTGTTTAATTTAATTTTATTTTTCTTACTTTTTTTCTTTGTATTCGGACAACTCATTAATCTATGTGATATTATTTTATTGGCTCCTAAGGTATTTCAAATTTATTTAGGCTTGAAAAAAGCCTATAAAATATTATTGATTTGTTCTTTTGGATTCATTGAATAAAACTTACTTTTCGTATGTGCAAATTCAAATGGAAAGGCTTGGTGGCCACTCTACTTTTTAGTGAAATTGGTGGTTAATCTTCTAGGGCTTTGCTTAGTCCTTAGTCATCATTTCCCACCCTTTCTCTTTTCTTTCCCAACAATTCTCATCTCATTTATATAATTGAATCATAGGTTTTCTCAATCTCAAGATACATCTATCTTTCTCAAAACTCTTCTAAACATTCTGATAGGGAACGCTTGAAGATCTCAAGTGAAAACCTATCAATCTTGGAAAAACAGAGGAAAATATCCATAAAACCCAAAACACCATAAAACAATAATTTATTGCAATAATAAGAGATAATGGAAGGAAAATACCAAGATACAGTTGATCCAAAATCCGAGAGGAGGTTCTATCTCTCCAAATGCCTAGACGCCGCTAGAGACCAAGAACGCCAAGCACCAAGAACACCAAAATCTGCTACAATTATCCCGATCCCTAACCCTAATACAAACTCCTACTTAAAGCAAATACAAAAATAAGACAAAGTACTAAACAATCCTCAAATAATTAGCCCTAGTTAATGGACCTCACCCCAAGGGGGGCGGGATTGGAAGTCTGCGGACCACCAAGCTTGCATCTGCTGTACTGCAGGAGCTAACCCACAAGTTGGGCCGGGTGGACCGGTCCAAGCATATCACATCTTTTTTTTTCTTTATAATATTCCAAGGTCGCAACTCTCCAATAATTCTAAGATATCTTAGCCAAAAGCTAAATATATGCGGATCATAAATATCACAACTCCTTAAACACTGATCTAAAATTAATAAAAAACTCTAATATTAATTTCTCAACTTCGCAAACCATTGGTTTGGAGTTTCGCATCTCTCTCCTCTAAGGAAAACTTAAAAGAAAAAATTCTTTTCATCACTGCCCATATAATTTTTTTTACCACTATAGGACATCAATTAAGTTGTCACCTTTACCATAGAGATCCTATAGTCCTTACATCAAAATTTTATGTAAATTTTACATTTCTATGCACTTATAGAGAATGATTGGATGGTAAAAAACTTTAAAAAATATTTATGTTAATTTTGATGAATTGATTTAGAAATATTTTTACAACTATAATAGTTAGTGTTAGAATATGTGTTACATTTTCCTTTTGCATGTAATATGCATGTCCATGCACTTATGGAAAGCGGTTGAATGGTAAAAATATATATGTAATTTGTATTGAAAGATTGATTAAGAAATCTTCTTACAACTATAATTGTTGATGCATATGAATGGAGATTAGATCTGCCAGAGCTTCTATGAAAACTTTATGGCACACCCATTTTGATATTATATAATTTTACAAAACTATTACATAAAGTGGTTAAAAAATTAGATGTCATGCCTAACTGACTTGATTAATGTTAAGGTCTAGATTAAAAATTTCAATGTTTTAGAAATTACCCCAATCTTGTGAGAATTTCTATTCACATTATTTAAGATGCATTTCTTATGAAATGTTAGTGAACAATGGCGACTCTTCAAAATATCAGGATTCTTGGATCATGTAAGAAATGTTTATCATGATGATTCACCCAGAAGACTCAGCAAACTTATTTTGCTGGTATAACTGTAATATATATTTCCTTCTAAGGATTGGTTCAAGGAGATGCAACAATCCTAGAGGGAAATATATATTAATATCATTGCTAGATTTAAAAAAAATTGAAATTTTATGGATATATAAAACAATCAAGTTTTATGATTAATATTGAATAGTCAGAGGCCCCGCTTAGTGGGACAAAGGCTTGATGTTGTTGTTGTTGTTGTTATTGAATAGTCATAGGGTAGAGTGTTGCTCCGCCTATTTATTGATTCCATTCTATTAACAAGGCAAATCAACTGCCAATTTTTTGTTGTATAACTCAACTCATTGATTTTGTGATATTGGCAGGCTGATGAAAATTTGCGAATGATCCGTGCATCATTGCCTGAGGCAGTTGAGGTTTGTATCGATGCTGCTGGACATGAGTTTGATGTTTCTCGGCAACTTACATTACTAAGGGCTGCTTGTTATGGCCGTGCATTTTGCAGGTTAATTTTTTTGTTCAGCTATGCCTGTTTAGTAATGCTCCAGTGTCTATATATCATAATTCTAGGCATTATTTTCATTTACCTTGAAAAAATCCTTTGGGGTTCTAGCTTCACTTTTGCGTTTGTTTAGGGTACAGTTCATTATCTATTTTGTTCTCTTTTTCTCCTTCGATTGATTTGTTGTTTTCTCTCTATTGATAAATGATCCTTCTTACCTCTTGAATCCTTAATAACATTTTGACCAAATCTCTTAGGAAAGAAAAACGAAGGAAAAAATGAACACATTAAAAAAAAAAAAAAATTCCTATAGAAGGTAAAATTACCCTTGGCTTTAAGCACTACTCTATCATCTTCAACTCTGTAAGCTGGGAGTATTGATTAAAGTAAAATGCCTTCAATGTCTAGCAACAGGCGTTACAATCCCTTCTTGATATAGTTTTCAATTGCAGCGATGCTGATATCATCTTTACTAATGACCTTGTTCTAGGAAAAGTTGGATTGCCTGGATGCCTGAATTCTATTGTCACAAATTGAATCCAAGACAGAATTTTGGATCACTGATTCTAGGATTCAACTACAAAAGCCTTCTTAACTGTTTATATCTTTAGGTGGCACAGGGACCTTCCAGTTCATTTATACAATGCACAGCTTCTGCGAGGCTTTTAGGTGGAGTGCAGACCCTACATATTCCTTCCTTTTAACATTGTTGACTTCTATCGAAGTGTTATTCCTTCTTCATAGTTGACATATGCATGTATAATCTAAGTTCATTATCTACGAACATAGTGATAATTTTCTTCTTGATTACTTGATTAAGAGATGAAATGTGTGGGGGTGAAGTTGGAAAGTTTTGGTTGGTCTATTGTATAGATAATTCATCCTGAAACCATCATTACTATTGCCTTTCAGTCAGTGTTATAATTTTTGGATCTCATCATACAAAGTGGCTGGTCAAATTAAGTATTTAGATTTTCCTACTGCATTTTGTCATGTCAAACACAGCATCCAATATGGTAGAAATTCATTTTTTATGGATTTTCTTCATTGTCGGATTGAAATTTGTGATAGCTTTCTAACAATGGGTTAGAAAGCTATCACAGTTTATGATTGTGGTATGTTTCATCTGAAAATGAATTCACTCTATATGTGGAAATGGAATTTCAAACAAGATAAACTAAAATTATTCCCAACAAATGTAAGATTTCACAGAATGTAGTAATTTATATAGATTTGTGATTTGTCAAACAGCGCTCTTCATCCCCCTCCCTCCTTCCCTCCTTCCCTCCTTCCCTCCCTTTTTTCTTTCAGTAACCCAGTTTATTTATTTTTTGTCTTAAACTATTTTATGCAGTTTTAAATTCGTTGTTCACAGTTTTGTGATTGGCCCTCATCACACAATGAAATAGCCAAAAGTTAACTCAGATTCTTCAACTATTCTTAATAAGTTTTTTTTATCGTCTTGTAAGCCATGAGAACTCAATCATTGTCTTTTTAGACAGTGATGATAATTATTTTTCCAAGTTGGAAAACATATGCTTATTTGTCCCTTCACGTAGTTGCATGTGGTGTTCATTTCCTATGATCAAAGGTAACTGTTGCAAATAGTATGTGACATTTCTTTGTATTTACATTAAGCGGCTAACTATACAATCTTTTCCGTTGCTGATAAATATGTTGTGTTGTTGATGTTTGCGAATACAAACTAGGAGGGATGATTTTTTTTTTTCTAGTGAATTCAAGTTGGATAGTTGAAGTGGAGGAATGCATTGGGCTTGTTGTGTGATAGAGAAGTCACTCTCAAACTTAAGGAAAATTCTATAAGATGGTAGTGAGACTTGCAATGTTCTATGGTGCAGGATGTTGGCCATTAAAAGAGAAGCATAATATTAAGTTAAGTATTGCATAGATGAGGATGCTTAGGTGGATGAGTGGCTTTACTCTTAGAGACAAGATACAAAGTGAGCATATACGTGAAAAGGTTGGAATAGCTCCAGTGGAAGATAAGATTAGAGAGAGTCTCACCTTAGATGGTTTGGTGAGATAAAATAGCGGCCTTCTGATGACCCGGTTAGAAAAGTAGATGTATCAGATTTGACTTAAGAAAGGTTGAGGTAGACCTAAAAAGTCTTGGTTAGAAAATATTAGAAATTACCTTTATTTATTAGATTTAGATGAGAATTTGACTCTTAACAAGACATAATGGAGAAAAATGATTCATGTAGCTGACTCCACATAGTGATAAAGGCTTGTTGTTGTTATTGTTGTTTGTATGATATAGGCTTGATATTACTCAATTTTACTTGGGCCAGATGTTTGTTGGTACTATTAGCATATATTTTGTCTTGCTGTATCTAGCAATTACTGTGTCATGCATCTTTCATTAATTATAATAGCTCATAGAGAATCCCTATATATATTTTTTTCATTTTCAGTGGGCATCTAATTTTTGATAGCATATAGGAAATGATATTTTGTTTCTTCTCACAGCCAGTTTTCCCGTGACCGCTTTCAAGATATCTGCAAAACTCTGCGTGTTCTGAATGCTGTTCGTAACCATGAAATTGGCATCCCACTAAGTATCCAACAATATAAGGTCTTGCACAATTTTCTATTGCAAAACTTTTGCCATGAATATGATTCTATCCATATTTTATTTTTAAAAATATTTCTGCCGGTGTTTTTTTTTTCCCCAGTCACTTACGGCACCAGTTCTGATTGGGCGTTTGATTAATGCCTACCACCACCTTCTTGCTCTGAAGATCTCTGAGTATCTTAATTTGAATTCGGTAATTTAACTTTTTTCTAATACTCTGAACAATGTCTTTTTTTTTTTTTTCATTTCTTTTATTGGCTTGCTATTAAGTCTGTGCTCTATAACGTGTGTATGAAAAACTAGAAGGTAATAGATACGGGCTATGAGCCATGCTGAATAGCTCAACTAAAAGAACTAATAATTTAATATTTTTGAATGTCTGAACTTGTTGATCACATATCTTTTTACAAAATGGGGATGATTCTTAAAGAAAAATGATGTCAATATCTATGTATAAAATAAACGGTAGAATTTAAATATCATGCAGCAAAAGATTAAATCTAGTATGGTTATATTAGGCTTTTCTATTTTATGCATGCAATTACTACCTTAAAACATGCCAGTGCACATATAACTAATGTAAAAGCAAGTAAATTAATATACTACTTTAGATGGACACGAAAGGATCAAAAAACTAGGGTTTGTATGTTGTGGAAACTGTAACCTTAGACATGTAAAAGAAGCTATAGAGAAGTTCATGTTGCTCTTCCCGATACCTTTCTTGAAGCTAATGCTTGTTCTAGATGTCTAGCTGTACCTTTGCTAATGTTCATCACATGGTTAAGTTCAAATTTAGAACAGACTAATATAATACATAAAGAGGTTAAAAAGGTTTGGAAGATGGATGAGGGAAAAAAGGGAAGATCTGAATTGTTTAGCTCAATTTCCACTGATCTTCTGCTGGCTCACAGATACAGGATTTCACATCCATGAAAGGAGAATTTCAGTCATCAAAGAAAGGTCTTGATCTAGATCTATAATTGCACTGGATTGAAAATTAATGAAATGCGCATCCAAACTAAGAATTATAGTTACTAGAGAACAAAGAAAATAGATGAAAAGTTTATGCATAAATAATGAAGAAAAGGGAAATAATCAAATAGAGTTGGCATGATTTCACATGCCCTCTTCAAGATTTGCACTTAGGAATTGAGAATTTTCAATAATAAACCAAAGAGCTTATATTAACATAATATTGAAGAAAATAAAGAGATTGCACTTACGTACTAAGGCAAAGGCTGGCTAATGACTACCTAAGATGCCCTGAGATCTTGGTAAATAGCCAAAAGATCTTGTGATTCGAATATTGAGCCAACTACAACAACAACAACAACAACATCAAGCCTTTATCCCACTAAAAATATTGAGCCAACTGAAACATAAAATACGTCCAAGTTAATGTATTGCACGTTTTGATTTCATTGTAATATACATTGCAATGGAATGTACTGTAAATTTTACTACTATGACTACCTTTTTTTCCTTCGGTGAATTCCACTTTGAGTATTTTATCTAGATACATGCAACTACTGATACAATTCTAATGATATAAATGCAAAATTAAAGTGCACATGATAGTCCTTACACAAGGCACACGTAAGTGAAAGAATATTGCTGCAACACAACTAGCTTTCATTTCTATTGATGGTTGTGAATTTGAATCTTCTCATCCATTTGAATAATTCTTTGCTTTGTGATGCTTCAGAACTTTTAAGTTTTTCAATGACTTTTTTGTGATACTTTTTAATCTTATTAAATAAATAACTTTACATAATTGCATATTTTAGATATAAATATGTTAATTTCTTGGAAACAACTTTAGAAATTTCTCGGTCATTTGTTCTTTGTTTAGGAAGTGGTTATAATGCACTGGACATGCACAAAGATGCTAGCTTCTGCAGCCATTGATGATGCTGCTCTGCTGGAAATTTTGCTGGATAAGGTTTGCTGTTCTTCTCTGTCAATTTTTCTGAAAAGACTTGTATATTCTATTATTTGGCATCAGTTTTTCTGAAACCAAAGCCATTGACATTGCAGTTGAAGCTGTGCAAAGGCATCTCTTATGCTGCAATTGCAGCTCATGCTGATAACAATGGGCGGCGGAAATTAGCTGCAATGCTTGTTGATCATGAACCACTGTCTTCAAAAAAGGTGCTTAAATTTTTAGAAGTACTTATTGCACTTTAATTTAGTTCTACGCTGTAAATCTCATTACTTGACAAATATAATACCATTGGTCTCTTAATAGCTGAGAAATCTCTAAATTCTCAAGTTATCGACCTACATGTAGTTCTCTCATCGTTGCATGGTGGACAACGGGAGGTGAGAATGCTTCCAGCTGTTACGTCACTTGTTTACCAAATCATTGCAGTACTTATTAGGCATATAAACTGTTGTGTTTGCTAATAGGTTATCTCGTTTCAAGGTTTATAGCCTTGTGTGTCACGGTTCTGCATACAAATAGGGTTGTTTGAAAACTATTTTAAGAAAATGGAGAAATATGAGGGGGTTTGTTATATTTTAATCATAAAAGACCTAGTCTTTGACAAAAAATTCCATTCTAAATTGAAGTCGGCGTCATGTAACTTGTAACTAGATAGTACAGGTCGTTTCCATCTAAAACATTGAAGTTTTCTTTTCAATAGTCTGTAGATCCTAAGTTGATCACTGCAACCTGCACGGGCTTATGAAATCTGAAATAATTATGAAAAAAATCTCAAGTGCTTCCTTCCAAAACCTCTTAGTGCATTCCATGTCCAATTTCATGATGGTATAAGTTTAGGAGATGTGCTTGGTAGGTTGGAAATATGTATCTGATAGGAAATACTTCTAGAAATCGAAATAATTCTTTGCTGAAATTTGAAATTTCAGCAAGATAAAACAGAAATCAAGAGAAATTTGGTGGCAAAACATTAGGGAAACTTGATTATTGATGAAAGAGGGAAGAAAACAAACAAGATAAAATGGATCTTCAATTTGAGAGGAAGATCCGACTCTCCTATTCCCTTGTCAGCGACTAGTGCCCAAGCAAACCCTAAGAGAAATACAAATTCAACTAAACATAATATAACCATAACCCTATGATGAAAATAACTATTAAATGCAAACAATACAAAGTAAAATGTCCAAACAGCCCCTCAAATTCAATTTTCTTGCTCTCTCGCCCCTTTCTATCTTTCACTCTCTCTCTTCCTTAATGATTTGACCCCACCCTAAGGGGGTGGGCTAGGCCTGGGTGGAGCCAGGATTCTGCTTGGTATAGACCTGGAGGAACTGCCCAGACCAACCCCTCTTGGGCCGGTTTAACAATACCCTCTCCCAAAGAATCACCTTGTCTTTAAGGTGGAAGGACAAAAATTGAAGTATCATCTGCTCATACGGCTCCCAAGTTGCGTCATACTCGGGTAGGTTTTTCCACTTTATCAGCACTTACTTCCTCTCGTCCCTGTTGTGCTTCTACCAACTCCAGTGGTTCCAAAATTACCTTCAAATCCTCCGTCAATGTCACCGGTTACTCCAAACTTGATGTGTGATCCCCTAAAGCTCTCCTTAACCGTGACACGTGAAATACTGGGTATATGGTCGCGATCGGAGGCAGCCTCAATTGATATGCCACTGCTATGATCCTCTCTACTCTCTCATAAGGACCAAACTATCTCGGAGCCAGTGTCTCATTCCTCCTACTAGCCATTGTCCTCGGTCTGTAGGGACGAAGCTTTAAATACACCCCATTCCCTACCTTAAATTGAATGTCCTTCTGGTGCTCATTTGCTTGCCTTTTTATAATCTGCTGGGCCTCAACAGATGTCTTTTCAATTCCACAAGTACTCGATCCCTCTCATCTAAGTATTGTCCCACTAAAAGATTGATTTGTTACTTTATCCAAAGTGCACCAAGTGAGACGGATTCCTACCGTACAACACTTTGAAAGGATTCATCTGGGATGTTGAATGATACAGAGTATTGTATCAATACTCCGCCCACACCAGCCACTTGGCCCACAGCTAAGGTGTCTCTTAAGCAAAGCATCACAAGTTTGTCTCCAAGATCTTGTTGACCATCTCCGTCCGCCTATCTGTCTGAGAGTGATAAGTGGTGCTTCTCTTTAGCACAATCTCCTGCAATCTGAACAACTCCCTCCAAAAGTGATTGTGGAATACCTTGTCTCGATCGGACACTATAGACTCCAATATCCTGTGTAATCTGACCACCTCTCTAATGAAGGCAAACGCACTATTACTGTCGTGTAAGAGTGTCGTAGAGGAATGAAATGAGCATATTTACTCAGTCTGTTCACTAGCACTGTTGATCTCAAAATCATAACCCAACAACTTTGATAACCATCTTTGATGCTCCTCGATCACCTTGTTGTGCTCTAGCAAGTACTTCAAGCTCCGGTGATCATTCATAACAATGAAATTCCTTGGCAAGAATTTTAAGATGATCAGTAATTTATTTCTGTTGTGATATGAAGATTTCTCTGTTGGAGTGGGCCGCTTCAATTCCGAGGAAATATTTTAATCTACCAAATTTTTTAATCTCAAATTCCCTGGCAAGAATTTTCTTAGAATCACTTTATCTTTTTCTTCATTCTCAGTCAAGATGATATCATCCATATAAACTAACAAAACTGTGACTCCCCCTAAGTCTAAGTGCTTGAAGAAATGTGTGTGGTCCCTTTGGCTATGTAGAAATCCATTGAGTAGCATAACATTGTAGAATCTTTCAAACCAAGTTCTAGGTGACTGTTTTAACCTATATAGAGCCTTCTTCAACCTACACACTTTCTCACCCCCAGAATTCTCCTTGAATCCTAGTGAAATTTTCATAAATATTTGTTCATCCAATTCCCATGTAGGAATGCATTTTAAACATCTAACTGTTCCAGATGTCAATTATAATTAGTTGCTAGGTAGAGCAGTATCCTAATAGTGTTCATGTTAGCCACAGGTGCAAAAGCTTTATGTTAGTCAATGTCGTATGTTGAGTGTACCCTTTCGCTATCAGTTTTGCCTTGTACCTTTTCAGTGTGTCATCAGCTTTGTATTTCATAGAGAATATCCTTTTGCAATCGACTAGTCTTTTTCTTACTAGTAGATCAGTGATCTCCCAGGTATTGTTCTTATACAAGACATGTATTTTATCTTTCATGACACTTTTAATTTTAATTAGATCAGAGCTTATAAATATTATCTGGAATATGAATATCATTTAGTGTGACCAATAAATTTTTATGTGAATGTGAGAAATTATGGAAGGATACAATGTTGGTTATAGGGTACATGTGAGATTTTTTTTTTATGAACTTATGTTTAACTTAATTTCAGTAGACGGTTTAGATTCTTGGATCTACTTTGGAGCATCGTTTGGGTTTGTATGCATGGAATATACTTTTCCGAATGTCATGCTATCCATAATTACTTTGTCCTTAGTTTCCCTAGCTTTGGTTTCAGGTTTAGGTGGATCGGTTTGAAGTGGAACTGGAAGGTCTAGGGGGGCAAGCTCACTTTCCTCATGTTCCTCAGTTTTAGTCTCCCCCTGAAAATGAGATTTGGTGAAATAGGATTTTTGTTCGTCAAAAGTGACATTGTCATATATAAGGATTTTCTTAGTAGAGCGGCAATAACACTTATAACCTCTTTGGGTGGATGAATATCCGATAAAGATACATTTGGGTGCTATTGATATAATTTTCTTCTATTTTTGGCTGTTAATGTGAACATTAGCAGTGCACCCAAAGATTTGAGTGTGAGGTTGTTATGGGTTCGGAATTCAAGTTAAAAAGAGGACATGACATCTATTGGTGCTTTTAGTTCCAAGGCTTTTGAAGGTAGTCAGTTTATGAGATATGTGGTAGTTAGAAGGGCTTCCACCTAGTAGGATTTGGATACATTGTGGTGGAATAAAAGTGCACGGGTGGAGGCAAGAAGGTTATTATTTTTTCTTTCTGCATCTCTGTTTTATTATTGGGTGTGAATGCAGGAAGACTCATGAATGATACATTACTTTTGAAAGTAGGAGGATAGAGTTTTATTAAAGTAATCTTTGGCATTGTCATAATGAAATTTCCTTATTTTCACCCTGAATTGGTTTTGGATTATCGTGTGAAAAATGGGGATGATAGTGCTAACATCGAATTTGGTTTTGAGGAGAAAGACCCAATAGACTTTAGTGCAGTCATCAATGAAGAATACAAACCACTAGAAATCTAAAATTTTAGGGTTTTTTGAGGGTCCCCAAATATCACTATGAATAAAATAGAAGAGTGTATGACATCTCTTATTTTTGTTTAAAAAAGAAACTCATTTATAATTGGCTAACTCACATATTTCACAATGAAATGATTCATTTTTCAACTCATGAAAAAGTTTTGGATGCATGTTTTTTAAGACATCAAAAGATAAATGTTATAATCTAAAATGATGAAGTCAAATAGTAGATTTTTTATCAAATAGGGATAACATAGAATATCCATTATTAATAATAGTAGATTTGTTCAACTCTTCCCTGTAGTCTAATCCATATTTCTCCTTAGCAAGTCCAATCTTCTTCCCCAATCCATGGTCCTAAAATAAACTAGTAGGATTAAATAGGACTTAGGAATTATGGTCATTGGTAAGTTTTTGTATGGAGATTAAGGCTTCGTTTGGGACAACTTTCTTATTGCTTCTAAAAGCAGTTTTTTTAGTATATAAATTTTAATTTTTATGCTAAAAAGCTACTTTAAGAAGCAATAACAAAGCCGTCCCAGACGAAGCTTAGGTTTCTAGATAATTGAGGTACATAGAAAATATTTATTTAGAGTGAGAGGGAGATAAAGATCTATATCCTTGGCCTGTTACTGTGTTAAGAGAATCATTAAAAGTGATGATTTTCTTATCACTCGGGCAAAGAGTGTGGTTGATGAAGTGGGTAATGAAGTGTGTCATGTGATCTGTGGCTCCTGAGTAAATGATCTATAAACCTTTTAAATAATTTCTAGAAATAGTTAATTCGATGGATATAAGAAACTTTCCTGAAAGTGTAAGAGAAGAAGATGCGGGTGGTTTTTCAAGGGATATCAAGAGTTATTTTATCTTATCAATATCTTCTTTCTTGAGTTCTTTGAAGCTGAACTGCATTTCTGGGTTGGGCTGACTTTTTATAGTATTAGCTTGTGATCAATGTTTAAAATTGCGTATTCGGGTATTGAGGCGTTTTTTATTCGTGAGGCGAGGCGTAAGCCTCAAGGAATTTTGAGGCGTAAGCCTCAAAATCAAAAAATTGCGTAAACATAAAATGATAAATTTTTTATATACTAATGAGTGAATAATATAAAACATAAAAAAGCATAAGATATGAAGTGAAAACAAATATCTTATCAATAGATGTTCGAAAGTAATTTCACTACTTCTATCGCATGATTTTTCAAGATATAATTATTAGTTTTTATAATCTACATCTTATAGTATACATTGAAAGCTCTTATTCTACATTAATGTGTTTGGGTTGTACCGAGCAGTACCATTTTCTTGATTACTGCTAGTTAAGGTGCAAGTAATGCGGAAGGCCTTCTCCTTTTAGGGGCTTCAAACTGTTCAAAAGTACTTTATCTGCTTAATTAAGTTTATAAATGTTGGTAGCTATGTGTAGATGCCTCATGAGTTACTAGATGATGCGGAGTTTTAACTGATTACAATTGTGTTTTGATACATATGGCGGGCTTTTAGATTTTAACTGAGCATAGAAGAGATGCGAGGTACAATTTTTTGTGCAGAGGTATGCAACTTTTGTAAAGTTATGTGGTGCTTTGTTTGACTAGGTTCCTTTATTGCTAAGCATTGGGGAAGAGGATACAGCCCTGGTAAAATCTACTGAAAGTGGTGATACCGACCTTGTATTTCTTGTTCTTTTCCATATCTGGCAGAAGGTATGTTGAATGTATGGTTTGGCTCAACACTTCGGGGTTTTTTCATATTGCATGTGGGCACGTGATCTGGATGTATCAAATTTTTATACATGTTTTGTTTGCTAATCCTTTATGATTTTTATCATCTTTATAAACAGAAGCCATCTTTAGATTTCTTTGGAACAATAAATGCGAGACCTTTGGCTCGAGATCTGTTCATCACATATGCTAGGTAATGTTGTATATCATGTAGGACTCAAACAGTGATTTAATATGCCGTGCTACATGGAGATAACAATAACTACTATTTTCTGATTGTAGGTTTTATAAACACGAATTTCTGAAGGATTTTTTCCTGTCTACAGGCCAGCTTCAAGTATGTTGCTATTTCGTCAATTTTACTATTTTATATAATATTTCTATTGCATGCCAAATCTCTTCAAACTCTTTGTGGATGAGTGGCTTTACTCTTAGAGACATGATACGAAATGAGAATATACATGAAAAAGTTGGAGTAGCACCAGTGGAAGATAAGATTAGAGAGAGCCGCCTTAGATGATTTGGTCACATAAAACGGTGGCCTTCCGATGACCCGATTAGGAAAGTAGATGTATTAGATTTTATTTATGTTAAGGAAGGTAAAGGTAGACCTAAAAAAACTTGTTTAGAAAATATTAGAAATTATCATTCTTAATTAGATTTAGATGAGAATTTGACTCTTAATCGAACACAATGGTGTCAAAGGATTCATGTAGCTGACCCCACTGTGGGATAAAGGCTTGTTGTTGCTGTTGTTAGTTTTATAACTGAAACGCTATCTTCAGTTTTTGTGTTTCCATGTTTCTTAACTAGGCTTCTTGCATCTAAAGCATTCTATGGACATTTTCTCTTCTTTTTATTCTATTGACTTTTTTAAAGAAGTATTAAAGTTCTGATTTAGTTGGAGAAACAACAGAATTTATCCCAAGAATTCTGGATGAGAAATTTAAATATTATGGTTGTGGGTTGATGGATGGTCAACTTAAGTTGAAACTGTTTTTTTCTAACCAATGCAATTTGATTGATTCCAAAATGCAAATCATAATAATTAAATTTTGTTTTACTTCTATGCTTAGCAACATGTTAGAATTCAACACTACCTACTCTATTTACATTAAAATTACTGGCTTATTTTTATTACGTGACCTTCCGCCAATGTCTTTTAAGTTGGTTAAACTTATATAGTCCTTCCTATAACCGACCTATTGCCAATTAATTACCCATAGTTTTGTATTGCTGTAATCTATCAGTCTAGATATAGTTCAAATCTTGATTAAATTGATGGTTGATAGGAAGTGCCCGTGCTTCTAAAAATCTTATTTCCCTTTGCTGAAATTAAATTACAACAATCCCAAATATAATCTCCAAGAGGAATTAAGAGCAATAATAAGAGAAAACTCTTTTTAATTGATGATATATAAAAGAAAATAACCAGATACAATGGATCTTCTATTGAAGAGGAAGATCCGGCTCTCCCAAATCCCTAGCCACCTGGTAGAGCCCAAAACTCCCTAAGAGCAATCTAAATTTAGCAAATAACATCATAATCCTAAAATCACCCTATTGTTAGCCTTACATAGGCTCTCGTAATTCCCTCCCAAATCAGCCCCCTTTCCCTAAATAATTCCCTCTCAAATTTGAATTCAAATTAAATATCTTTCTCTAAATAATTCCCTCCCAATTGTAATTAAAAATTTCCTAAAAAATTTCCTCTTGATTCCTCCTCCCTTACCCTAAATAATTCTCTATTGGATTTTGAATTCAAATTAGATCTCTTTCTCTGAATAATTCCCTCCCAATTATAATTAAAATATTCCTAAATAATTCTCTTTTGATTAAGAACCTTCCTAAACAACTCTCTCTTTATTAGAAATTTTTCTAATTCTCTCCCAATCAAATTGACCGGTCCATCAATACCCTCCTGCCGAAGTGTCACATTTTCCTCAAGGTGGAACGAAGGAAACTGCTACTGAAGCACTAGACTAAAAAATGGTTTGTTAATGGGCTGAATTATCTTTGCCTCTAGCATCTCCTTAATTAATCTCTCAATCTCTTCGTTTTGGATTTTGGGATGATGGTGTAAAAGAATACTCATAGGCAAGACTCTTTCAAGATGATGGCATGCTCGTGTTCCCGCAGAGGAGGCAACCTCTGAACTGGTTGGAATAAACCTTGATACTACTCTAGAGGTGGCTGTAGCAGGTATGGTGCTTCTATCTTCTTCCTATCTTTTTCTCCTTCCAAACTGTGCAGCCTTACTAAAAATTCCACTCCTTTCACACTTTCCCCTATTTGGAAGTGGCTCCAAAGGTTGTATCTCATCTTCTTTTCTCAATATTTCCACCTACTGATCTTCCCCTCTTCTTGTTAGATTAGAGTTTCCTCCACTCCCTTAGTCGCCGCCGCCTCTGACAACACTTTTTTGGTTTGGAACTATAGCATCTTCCTTATCATCTTCTATTTGATGAAAAACTTCTCATTTATCTTCTTCTTTCCCTAACTAGGCCCCCTTAGATTTTGAATTTAAATTAGGTCTCTTACCCTAAATAATTCCCTCTCAATTGTAATTAAACTTTTATAAATAATTTTCCTTTGATTAAGAATCCTCCTAAACAGCTCCCTCTTAATTAGGAAAATTTCTAATTCTCTCACAATCAAATTGGCCAGTCTATTAATGGTATCTCAGTTTTGTGTGTTGTTGCATAGTTGGTACGTGGTATTTAAGTGGACAACATGCTTGATGCTGGCTTGAGGGGAGATTAATGTTAAGCAAAAATATATTCTTTTGGATTTGAAGATAGTACAACAAGGTCAAGAATGGGTGAACAATTCAAAAAATTAGCCTCAAGATTAATAAAATATTTAAAGTCTATCATAGAAGATGAATGAAGCAAAACTTTTAAAGAAACACCACAACAACCGACCTACTACAACAACTCATAGTTCAATTTATTTTTGCATTTAATCTGTCCCAAATGCATTTTTAGTTCTTTTATTTTACTTGTATTAGACCAGTTGGTCTTAACCTCCATTAAACCTAAAACCGGTTCATATAAACCTTTATAGATAAGACCCCAAATATTGTAATTGAATTCAGCAAACAAGATTTTTGCTTTCACCCTTTTCTAATCTCTCTTCTTCCCCTTCTTCTTTCTTAAGGAGTCCACACCTACTTGAAAGATGCCTTCTCCTTCTTGATGTAGATCAAGAAGCTTAACAAATGATGCTCTCATTGCACTAAAAATTCCATTTTTCCCTCCTACTGGCCAGCAGTCTCTAGAATCCAACAGTTCTTTTCATCCGCCAACCCTATTGTTCTCCACAATAACTTACCTTTCCACCTCCTACCCTACTGACCAGTACTCTCCACCATAGCCAACCTTCCTTCCAGCTACCAGACCTCTTTTCCTCCACCGAAACTCCATTCTCCACTTCCTAATCCTGTGGGCCAGCAGTCTCTACTGCCCCAGCATTCATTTCAGCCTGCTGACCTGCTGCATTCAAAAACAGTTGCAAGAAATCTGCACCATTTAGGTTCTACGTTCACCTCTAAGAGTATGTTGCCTTCAAGAATCTGCCACAGTTTCTATTTTCAGCAGCAAGAAAAAGTCAAGGCAGAGTCAAGAAAGGTTCAAGCATCAATAACAGGTCCAGAAATCAGCATCAAGGATAGCTTCACTGACGCTAGAGCTGAGCTGCTTAATCTTGTTAAATTCAGGCCAGATTAATTCCATATGATAGTTAATATGGCTATATGTGTAATGTTTCTTATGTTGATTGTAGCCTATTATATTGCTACATTTGCCTATAATTATATAACTAATACTTGTAATAGGGGATGATTAATAAGATTTGATTTGGGCTTTGTGTAGAGGTAGACCTAAAAAAACTTGGTTAGAAAATATTAGAAAAATGATCTTTCTTTATTAGATTTAAATGAGAATTTGACTTTTAACAGGACACAATGGCGAAAAAAAGATTCATGTAGCCGACCCCATGTAGTGGGACAAAGGCTTGATGTTGTTGTTTGTTTCATTTCTTTATCTTGAAGTGTATTGAGGTGGTGGTTTCTTTCTAATTAGTTCTTGGAGTTGTGTTAGGCTACGGTCACTAGATTGTGGACAAGTTGTCATGCCCCCTCTTGTCCGGTGTCATTTTGTATCAAAGCCGGTAGGCTCTTCTTGTTTTTGTTTTCTGTATCCTGGATTGTTTTTTTGGTGGTGGCCGCCCCTTTCCTCTTCTCTCCAGCTGTCGCAGCTGACCATGCACCCCTCCCGCCTTCGTGAGAAATCATCTTGGTCCTCTACTTGTCATCCAGCCCTCTTCGACAAGAAATCACATACTACAAGCTAATGTTGTCTTCTTCAAAAAACTGGAAGTTGTTGTTGTTGACCTATTCCAGAACCTCCAAACGTGGCTGTCCAGTTGCTATCAGCCACCTTCACAACCTGTTGGAACCAACTGGGGTTGTTCAGCTGCTGTCCACCTTCTTCTAGGTCATTAGAACTGTTGTAAGCCACAAGAACAACCGCAAAAACAATTGTCCAGCTGTTGTACATCTTCTTCCAGGTCATCTAAACTGCTATAAGCCGCGAGAGCAGTCAAGACGTGTGGTATCATACCAAATTTGTGGTACAGAAGCTAGGAACAGGACAACACAACTATCTAATTTGTGGTACAGTAGCTAAGAAGAGTGCAAATTGCTTATGCCAAGAAACCTTCCAACCTCCTTCTCAGTTGTCCGCAGTCTTCTGCCCAAGACTTCACCTGATCCTGAACGACAACCCACTTTCCTCTCCACAGCATCTATATCTGTCTAGGTGTAGCTACCGCCAAGATCAACGAGGCCATCAAATTTTCTGCTGTCCTCCTTCAAAACAGGTGCTTGCCTTTGATTTCAGCCGCCTGTGTTGCCACTACAAAATGCCTCCTCGAGGAACGTTGCAGCGACCACTTCAAGAAGCATAAATTGATGATATTCGACAAGAAATTACCTGACTCAAACAACGATTGTCAAGGCTTGAACAAAGAACATACTTGAGCCCCCTTGCCAGGGACTTTGATGGCATCCGACCAAGCATAACGGCTTCAAGATCATTCGTTCCAACCAACGTTTAAAATTGCGCAATAAGAGCCCGCGCCTCAGCGCAATTTGGTCCATTTAAGCCTCAAAGCCCACGCAATAAGTTCAGTTTATGAGGCTTACGACTCAAGTTTACTAAGGCGTGCCTTATGGCGCGCCTCGCCTCATATATTTAAGGCGCCACCTCTAAAAAAATAAAATTAACCTAAAGTTTTTTTTTTTCAGTTCGCCCCCCCAGTTGCCGACGTGGCGCG